TTTGGACCCCCCCTATCAAAAATTCCTGGATCCGCCCCTGATTACCATCTGAATAAAAAGGGTCAGTTTCTAAAGAAACTGGTACTGGGTGTGTAACCACATAGATAAAGAAAAGCCTCTGTAGTTATAGCTGGTGGGTTTACTGACCTCAATGGAAACTTGTCCAGCCTTAGGATCATGAAAGGGACAAAAAAATGTGTTGAATAAGTGTAAATTTTCTAAAGGCTTGAGTCGGTAACTTATAAGCTGCTAGTGAAAAAACACACTGATCAAAATGGCATGAAACTTAGCTGTGCATGGACTGGGCTGGCCACAGTCAGAGTGTGGGTGGGGGAGTATAACAAGGTAATTATGGTTTTATCAACTGAGTGGATAATGTAAATTGGCCACTGTAAAGAGTTTCAAAGCCAATGTTTTGAGCGTTAGGCCTTCATCAGAGCGAATGGTGAAGGTCTAATGCTGGACACATTAGCTTTGAAACTTGTTATAGTGCCCTATTCACATTATCATTGCAGTTGATAAAACTAAATTATCTTTTCATTGCCATACTTTATGTTTTTAGGTATTCCTGCTGTAGAAGTTTTGAGAAGAGGTCTATCGGAACTAACCGCAATGTGTGAACACATGCTGGCCACATTTGAGGCAAGGTTATAAATGTGGTAACTTGATCATTGTCTTTGTGCTGTGTCTTGAGTTGTAGAGGAAGCCTTTTCCATGGCTTCCTTAGCTACTTTCATTATTTAAACCAATTTTACATCATTAAGTTTCTGGATATTTTGATAGCGCCCATTCATACCAATTTGGGTAGGTACAGCAGCCTCATGGTTAGTGAGCTGGCCTCCAGATTGAGTGGCCCAGGGTCAAGCCCAGGTTGGGGACATTGTGTTGTATTCTTTGGCAAGACATTTTACTCTCACATTGCCTCTCTTCACCCAGGAGAATAAATGGGTACTTACAAATTTAATGTTGGGGATAACCCTGTGATGGACTAGCATTCCATCCAGGGGGGAGTAAAAATACTCCTAGTGGCTTCATGGTACGGAAACTGGATTTAAGCACTGGCCCAATGGGCCACTTGGCTTGTAAACAGGTTTTACCTATTCGTACCAATTAAAAAGTAAGAAGTCCCCTTAGTGGAGAGATGCACTGTAAAAGCAGAGTTATGCTCAAGAACACAACACAATAATGTGACTAGCCTGCTGTACTGGCGTATTTTGGGCGCACGAGTGCACATTTTCGTATTAGGCGGCCATCTTAGATTTGGTAACTGTGGAGGATTAGGGCGAGGAAATATTTGCCGAGGGAGTAGGTGTTAAGTGGAAAAATGGGTAATGGGGGAGAGGGAGGGGAATACCAGGTAGTTACACATTTAACTACCATGAGTGACCAAGATCAAATTTCTTCTGTTATTATTAAGCAGACAAGTGATCAGTGTAAAGGAAAACATCCAATAGGGGATGATTAGTTGATCCAAAACTAAATTCTCTGAGCAAAAGAATTGTATGGCAGACAGTAAGGAGAATTACTAATGAGATCGTAGGAATGAAAGGGTTTATTCAATTTATTTATTTACAGACTGCAGTCGAGGAATACAAGGATGCTCAACATTTAGATATATCACCGTAGGATGAAAATTTTTTTTTGGCTGTGGAAAGAACAAGCAGAAAGTTTCAAATCATATGATCAGAGACTGTGTCAAGAAGAAAATCGAGGTTGGACTTGCTGGACAAGTAGAGATGTTTCAAGCAAATAGGTTTTAACTGGCTCAGTTTAGCAGTGGAAGCTAAGGCACTTCCAAGACTTGCCAAGGACTTGTGCTGCCTCTGTCATTTTGGAATAAGATGACAATATTTTTAAATGAAAACTGTTTCATTGATGGCTTAAAGCTGATTCCTTAGAAATAAAGCTTGTTGCACAATTTTTTTTTAATATTTCCTTGATTGAAACATACTAATCCCTGTTTAGGGAACTCTGGGGTGGATCCAGGATTTAGTCAAGGGGAGTTCAGAGAATTGTGGGAGGGCATGCTCCTCCAGGAGATTTTGAAAATTAGGTCTTCGGAAACATGATTTCCAGCATTTTGAGGGACAATTTAGGGGGTTCGACCAAACCACTTGAACCACTCCTGGATCTGCCTCAGGAGCTGCTTTAATTAAAAAACATAGGTCAATGTGCTTGGTAGGGAGATATGATGGGCCACTCTTACCCACTTATTCCTGGACTGTTTATTAATCAGGTAATTTGGTTTTATCAACTAAGTCAAAATTGTAGATTGGCCGTCATAAAGAGTTAAAAACTGATATTTCGAGTGTTAGCCCTTTGTCAGAACCCCAGCTAGCCTCTTGCCCTTTGCCCTTGCCTTTCACTCCGACAGGGGGTAACGCTTGAAATGTCAGCTTTTAAAACTCTTTATGGTGGCTCAAATACAATTTCAACTTAGTTGATAAAACCAAATTACCTTGTTACCCCCACCAACACAGCACCACATTTTCTTTAGAAACCTACCCCTTTGTTTATTAATCGTGTGAGTTATTTCCTCAGTTCATGCACATTTTGCAGTAGCTGGAAGCATGGGTTTTTGAAGTAACACCTGAAGCAACACTATTGGTAGAAAGTCTCTAGCATTTGGAACAAAATATTAAATCATTTAAGTCATAATTTGTATCCTTGAGTAATGGACTACAAGGATGCTTTTACTTTTAGCTATACCCATATTCCTTCAGGTAATTATTTTCTACTTTTCTTAGGGGGCTAGCCTGTGCACCTAAATTATGCAAAAAAATATAGGTCACCATGCTTGTTCAAGAGCAAAAGACCATCTCAAATACTCACCTTGTCCTTTGATTGAATGTTCAAATGAATGATTGAATGATCAAATGTTCACCCTGAATTATCAAATGTTCACCTTGTCCTTTGATTGAAAAGACATTTCTGAACAAAATTGAAATATATGCAAAAAATTGGCTCACATCCGGCCAGAATATTGATCCCCGTGACAGACGTCTGATCACTGTGTTTCTTTAATGAAGAGCCGGGACGAGGGAGGGGGGAGAGAGTAGAGAAGTTTGCTTTATTGAAAACGAGACTAATATTCTTTGCCTTGGTGAGACGCCTGGCGGAAAATCGGTTCTTTGGCTGAGAAGACAGTTATGGGGCGAGCGAAGAATCTGATTTTGGTTTTTCTGGCAATTGTTGTGACAGCAGTGCTTCTAAGGAGACTACTAGGAGCATATGCCTTAATAGTTCCTCTTCTTTATATGTTTTTCGACGTGAATTGGAGTCTACGCGTGACTTGGATCGTTTTGAGAAACATTGTTTTCCGCAGCAGAGCTTCAGTCCCTGATTTCTTGGAAATTTTTGAGACAACTTTTATTGTCCTTCCGTCGGATATCGATCTGAATCTTCACATGAACAATGCTAGGTGAGATATGTAATCATGATGAATAAGCAGACTTTAGGGGAATTTATCGTGAAGACTTTTTGGAAGTGTGTTTTAAAAAATGAAAAGGAAACTATTATGTCCCTGATTAATAAATAATATGACACGGCTTTTATTCAGGAGCATTTTTAAAAATAGGAACTTGATTCAAACTAATTTTGTTCGTCTCTGACGGGGGAGCAGCAGACTTTATCTTAAATGAACGATTTTTAGTATCCATCAAACCTAGAGGTTTATAAATCCAATAAGGCCTCATTCGCTCTTTAACATCCCTTATTCGAATCCAGTTGTTACAATTTTTTTCTTTTAGAACACTGACTATCCTTTCGCTTCTTTTATTTTCTGTCTTTTTTCCACTTTCTTTGTGTGTAAATACTATTTTTTTTTTTTTGCAAACATGTGTTCCGTCATTTGTATTGAACTAATGTCTTTAAGATAACTTTTCTCTTACATCTTCAATAAATTATAAGGAGTGTCTGACGGAACTGATTCTCATAATGGCTGCTTCAGAAGTGAAATTTTTTGGAATGAAAATTCTCAGAATTAGCTAGAGTGCTGGCTGGGATGTTATTTCTTGAAAAAAATTTCTTGGAAATTTTTTAAAATACTGCTTGTAGCTTGCAAAACTGTACTTTTACTATCCCATGAAAATGAATTTACAAAGGATGTTAAACTAACATGAAAGTATAAATTAGCAGGAAAGATTTCACATAAATACCTTTCTGTGTTCTGCATTGTGTTTTTTTATAAGAGAGAAAAACCGTCTGTTTCCTTTTTTTAACACAGAAGTTTGAGGGCCAAAGGTTTCTCTGCCATAAGGGTGGTCATATGCTAGCATTTTTTTTTTGCATCAAAAGAGGGTGACACGAACATGATAATCAGCAAAGTGTCCTGACAAATTGTTACTTGACTAGCTATTGTGTGAAATTTAGCTCTTGAAAAAACTAATGCCTTTTTCTACTTCAGGTATCTCCGTGAATGTGACTTTGGAAGAATTAATTTGTGGATTACAAGTGGAATGATGCGTGTAATGAGAAAGAGTAAGTGCGGTGTGACAATAGCTGCAGCTAGTGTGCGTTATCGGCGATCACTGGAACTTTTTCAAAAAGTATTTCTAAAAACAAGAGTCATAGCATGGGATGAGAGTGCGTTCTATCTTGAGCAGCAATTCATGGGAGAGGATGGCTTTGTTTATGCTGTTGCTTTAACAAAGAATACAGTAATTCAAGGAAATAAGAGAGACAGATTAGTTTCACCTGCTGAACTAGTTCAGCAACTAACTGGATGGAATGCACCTAGTCCATCCATACCTCATAACTTACAACTTTGGATTCAGTACAACAGTGCATCAAGTGCAATGTTAAAAAATGCTTTGTAAAAATACATCTGTTCTGCAGGCTAGTGATTTGGTTGCTAAATTTACAGCAAAAGTTTCCCACTTGGTACCCCTTGTTTGGTGGTCAAGTAGCTACTGCAATTTAATTATTATTTAGTGTTTTATGGCATAAAGTTGAGTATAAAATTTGCCCAATAAAAATAATTTAATAAATGTAGCTTCATTTTCCCTAAAGGAAATTCTCTCTTTCTCCTTGCTTATGTGAATATTTAGCCTTGAAATGAGTCAGAAATTATTTGTGTTTGGCATTTTTGTGTAAATTATAGCTATGCTGTATTCCAGTGCGAAAAAAGTCTTATGCACAACCAAGCACCATTGGAACTCTCTGGAAACCATTTTATCCTTCCAGACACAATATCCTCCGATCCCAAAAATAATAAGAAATACAGTAATGTTTGGGATATTTCATTTTTCTTTTTTGTGGAATATGGAGAACCAGATCCATATTTATTCAAATTATCTCAGAATTTGAAAATGGGAGTGTTATCACGCAGCCAAATTCGCCCAATATCCTTGGGATATCACGGTGACTCTGCCAAACTGCCAGTTTTTCCCACCTATGAGCGATTTTAAGAAAACAATTCTGATGATATTACTGTTAGGACAAGAATTATTTTACTTTCCCCATTAAACTTTGATTTTCCACCTTGCGAAAACAAAAAGGGTTTTTCCTACAGCTTACGTTCAACGAAAAAAATCTGTCGGCTAGTTACCCATCACTCACTTCGTACCGAAGTCTCCCACTCTGCGCAATCACGTGATGCACAGGTAGTTTGAAGTATCGAAGTGAGAGCAATTTATTTCTTGTTGTCTCTTCAACTGGTATGATTTGTTAATACTGTATGTTAAGACGAATCAGAATGTCTAGCAAGTCGACTTTTCTGAAAGTTGTTCTGCTCGGCGATGGTGGTGTTGGAAAGTCCTCTCTGATGAACCGATTTGTTAGCGGTAAGTTCGACACCCAATCCTTTCACACAATCGGAGTGGAGTTCTTGAATAAGGACGTGAATGTCGAAGGACAGTCTTACACCTTACAGATCTGGGATACAGCTGGCCAAGAGAGATTTAAAAGCTTAAGGACGCCTTTTTATCGGGGATCAGACTTGTGTTTGCTTGTCTACGCCGTTGACGATGTACAAAGCTTCAAAAATTTGGCCATGTGGCGGAAAGAATTTCTGTACTACGCAGATGTGAGAGACAAGGAAACCTTTCCTTTTATTCTTTTAGGAAATAAAATTGACGTTGCCGACAGGGTTGTGACGCAAGAAGAAGCGCATAACTTTTGTCAGGAGATTGGTGGAATTCCTTACTACGAGACGAGTGCAAAAGACTCAACAAATGTGGACATTGCCTTCCATGCAGCAGTCAAGAGATTGAACGAATTGGAACAAACCAAAGCAAAAAATGATTTCTCTGCCACTGAGGGAGTGAATTTATCCAATGTAAAACAGAGAGAAAGTTCAAGTTGCTGCGAATAATCTGGTGATATTTGATTTTTTAACATTAGTTTTGGTTTTAGTTTTAAAAAGTAGAGTGATAAATATATGGAGGCGTTGAATAGCTGATAAACATTCCCTTGTCGCGGTTTAATCCATTACGAAACTAGTGCATACTGGATATTCAAACTTATTTTCTCGTATATCGCCTTCGACCTTTTCAATAGCAGATACAAGGCTGAATTTGGGGGAAAAGGCTGGGAAATTCACAAGGGGATGGTAAAATATACCCATTCGCTCCTAAGACTTTATTAACAGTTCTCCTTACTTCCTGCAGTACAATTTCTATAGAGTTAGTTTGGAGAATTTGGTATTATTCTCAACCTTGGTCTGCTTTATTAATTCTTTGAGGAGAATCTTGTTAGATTCTGATAGAGACTTAAATGCTATTCAGGTGTTTAGTTGAAAGATGTATCAGTTTTAACAATGAAGATCTGAAGTTAAGAAAAGAATATTTATACTGATACAAGGCTGGTTGACCTTTGAACTGTCCTAGATCTGCCTTTAAATTCTCATTTCTTGCTGCTACAGATTTCCTTGTGAAGTACTTTGCATACCATGATTACATCCTTCAGCTGATTAAATTGTCTATTTTTACGATCAGAACTGTTTGCTTAAAAATGTATTGCATTACTTGTGGATTTCCTTAAGGGTTTAAGAGCAAATAACAACTTACATCGAGACTGTGCATGTAAGCAACATTTCCTTGCATCAAGTCAACTATATTTTTTACAATACCACAACAATGCCATGAAAGTAAAGTGGTATACATACAAGAAAAAAAAACCACTTTGCCCTGATTTGATTTGGTTATCACAGTGATGCTTTAGCCCACAAAGACTTAAAAATAATGAAAACAGTATTTAAGTAAATTATTAATCATGTGGAGATGATGGTTTGTACTTTTTCTCTGTGTTCTTTTTAAGAAAACGACCTAAATATAGGCGTTTCAATTTGTCAAGAATATTTTGCACTGCGGTAGTAATTTGAATTGTCAGCAGAAAAAGGTGTTTGCTTTCCAAGGCAATGATTTCGAAGCAAGCTGAAGAATGTTAATGAAAGTGCTTCGTACCAACTGTGTCAATATGTTGTTTCCAGTACCACTTCAAACAGTAATAATTATTAACTTATTGATGTAAAAGTGGTTCAAATGAAGGAAGTTCTGTTTTAGAAATAATAGTAGATGATCAATGTTACTTCATTGTCAGATAGTCTTGGTTACATGTTAAACTAGTGGTATAAATCAGATATGTATGTTTACGAGGTTGCATGTGGATGATAAGAAAATAAATGCCACAAAGAAATCTCAAAACTTCACTTTTTGTTTGTGGGAGAGACCTGGTGAGTGCACTAGACTCCTGGTTGAAAACTCTGTGTTCAAAACCTGGCTGGGTCTGGGGCTAAACACACTGCCAGTGCCTTTCTCTTAGGAGTAAAAATAAATGGTTACCAGCAAATTGCCAGGGAAGCATGATGAAATGCAAGGGGGTAACCTTGAGATGGATTTGCATGCCTTCCATGGAAAGTAGTTTATCCTCCCAGTCTCTTCGTGCATTGGGTACCAGAATATGCTCCCTCTCAATGGGCTACTTGGCTGGAGTACAGAGTCTTATTACGTGTCTAAATCCCTTTTAGTGTGCAATGCAGTGGAACTACCGGCAAGTAGATGTTCAGTTTTCCTCTGTCATTTAGAAAGGTTTGGAAGATTCTGGTTATTCCATTTTTATCCCTTTCTGAATATTTTTTCTGACTTTCCTCTTGAATCAGGGTCAAAAATCATCTAGGTGATTATAAATGGTGTGCAATAGATCTGGAATGTCTTTTATCAGTATTCTGGTTGGTGAGGAGATGGGAACTGATTATTCATACTAGGAGATGTATATATTTTTAGCTGTTTATTAGTAGATAGCAGGTTCCCATCAGCATTAGCTGCCATTTCCTCAACCTGCTTTACCAAGTAAAGGATGTATGTATGTATGTAACAATCAAAAGAGGTCTTTCACTTTTCCACAGTGTTTTGGTACAAACAAATTAAGAGGGTTGGTTACTTTCCATTAATACAAAATGTCTGTTTGGGTCTATGGGAATTTTAACAACCTACTGACTGGACTCTGTCCTTACTCAAATACAATCATGTACCCAAAGTTCCCGTTTCCCCCATCAGCTATCTACGAGAGAGCCTCTCACACAGGTCTGTTTTGCTAGAGATCTGTAACATAGGCTCCAAGAACAAAACTGAACCCTTTAACTTCCATGAGTGACCAAGACAGAACTTCTCCTTACAATATGCAACACAGGTAATCTTTTAGAGGACAGGTAGCTTGCTGACCAGACTGAACTCAGGGTTGTTGGAACAGCAACAAAAAGATTTATTCCAAAAATGAATGTAGTTTCCACAGAGTAAAACTCTACAACAGCATGTAATTTAATAAACTTACATGGCCTCCACCAACTGCACTTAACTTGATAAACTCACACAGCCTCCACCAACTTCAATAAACACTGCTTCAGTCACACTTGACTGAACATGACTAACGTCAAACTCTCTTCGCTTGTGAAAACTAATTAAAACTTCGCTTGAACTTGCCTACCTATATACTTACACAATAAAATTCTAGAACTTTCCAATTAATAGTCTAATTATAGAAAGATTACAAACTATACTGCTTAAGGAACGCTTATGCAAGATACTAAAATAAACAAACTCTGAACTCTCATGAAGCTTCCAGAAGGTCATGCTAGTCACACAATACAATTTTGCGTAACACAATATCAATATGATATCAAGAAGACAGGTGATGAGAATAAAGAAAAATATCAACTAGAGGATTAATAGTTGATACAATCCTAACTTCTCTGAACTAACATCATAAGAATTGTATGGCAGACAGTAAGGAGAATTGCTAATGAGATCTTGGAAGTAAAAGAGGTTTAAGATAATTACGTAGATTTCCAAAATAAATGTTGTTTAAATTATTTGTATATCTCCCAAAAGCACAATGCATTTACGCACAATAAGACATTTATTCAGCAGTTTATTTAATGTATTTAATGTATTTACACATGGTGAGGTAAACATGCAAGAAAATAAAATCTTTTTTTTTATAAAAAAATGTAACAGTTATTTATGCCTAATAGGCAAAAACAGTCCTCAAGAATGAAGGCACACTTTATCCAGATATATGCTACAAATTTTTCCATCTGAATATAACAATTTCCTTTATTAACTAGTACCGACAACTTAAAAAGAATGCTAGCCAGCTCCTGTTTGTCTAACAACATATTACTAGTAAATTTCAAGACACTAATTACCTCTGGGCGTTACATGAAAGGGTAAAAAAAAATTTAGAAGGGAATTGCACAGAAGGATCTGAAATTCCCCACTCACAACTTATAAAAATTAAAACTTCAATGAAATCGCAGAGATGATGTAAATAAGTCTTCACTTGGCTTAAAATGTGTTAAGATAACAATAAAAACATTGCTACTAAAGAGCTCCTCATGTATATTATCTTAATTTGTTAAGTAATGATTATGATAACATGTAGGAGTTTCTTAGAGATAGAAAAGTTTGTAACAGTAATATGATGTGAAACAAAGCAAGAGAATTACACTCCTGTCTAGAGAACACTTCACATTAGTTTCTGCTACACCAAGGAACAGCTTGAATTAACCTCTACTTAAATTCAGACCCTGACAGTGTCCCTTTTTAACATAAAATAATGGGACTGAAGTAAATTGATCAAAATCTAAATTTAACTCATTAGAATGCCTTTTTTCAATGGCACCAACATAGAAAACAAAGCATAGTGGAAGGTGTTGATGACATTGCTGAATATTCTTGATGAGATATTCCATCCTGACAACATTTTGATAAGTAAAAAAAAAACAAGAAATATCACCAGAGTATGATTTACATAATTTGCATTGCTCCTTCAATTTATTTTAACTGTCTTTAAGTGCCACATTGCAACTATATATCACCCTAAAAGACTCCTTGAAGAACTCTAAATTATCACATAAAAGATGCCTAATATCAGAGTCTAGTGGGTTTATTGAGCTTAAAAAATTCATAAAAGAATTTTTTAAGTGCCAAGAATCATGATATCAGAAATGGTTAAAATAGTGTTGCCTACATGTTGTAATTTTTTTGCTACAACCCTTTTTCATTGTAAACTGCATCTTGTTTCCCGCAAGAGTTAAAAACAATTAAATTTTTTAAGTTGATTGTCTGAACCTCTACAAACTTCTTGATCCAAATCTTTTAACATTGATTTCTTATCTTGTGCTTTTTTGCTACAATGACGAAAGCTGCACACTGCCCTCTACAAAATAAAGTAAATGCTTCCCTTTCACATTGCTCTATTGAAAATGCAATAAAATCTATGAAAAGAAACACTTGCATGCATTCTTGGATTTGCAAGCAAGAGCTTCTTCTTGAAGAACTTGCAAAATTTCAGTCTCCTGTTTCCAAGTCTACTTACTTTGAAATGTGTTTTAAAAAAGCTCTGTTTTGATGGACAGTTTATCCAGTTAGCGATGACAACTGACTGTCTGACTTTTGAAATACAATTATGATACCAATCTTTTCCAACATAGTATAGATGAGGTCTCAAATGAGACTCTTGCTAAGAAAAACAAGAGTTGTCACAAGAGATTGAGATGTGTCACCACAGAAGAGATACATACACCACAATAGTAGTGACTCACTATTGGAAAACAGATTGTAGCAACGAATGGAAATCCTAAGAGTTCACTTTGACTGAAGATTAAGGAAATGTGTAAACCAGAGCATGGAATTGAAAAAAGACACTATGTTCTGCAAAAACCATTATTTTGAGCTTATGAGTGACCATTGATCATAATACATTATAGTAAAAAAAGGGAGAAAATATTCAACATTACTAAAAAAACTGACAATTCATGCCCTTGTTGACTTCTCTTAATTGACTTCTTTTAAACTTAACTAATTGAGCACTTTTTGATCCAGTGTTCCAAAAACCAAAAGCTATGTAATTTCAATGAACAAAAGGGACTAAGAGAAAAATCAAATAAAACCGATAAGAACTTGAAGCAAACAACCAGGCTGCCTTTGTTCCAAGGGTGGATAACTTGATCCAAGAGAGCACGGCAGAATTTATTTTCCCTTGATTTAGGGCATCTTTCCCGTATTTTGAGTCGCCATGTTGCTTTTGCGATTTTATCTGCTGACCGCTATGTTGAGCCATGAAGCAGCGACTTTCTGGGGTTAGTACGAATGAGCCCCCAAAGGGGCAAGGTGAGCCGTGAAGCAGCAAGTGTATTGTAAAAGACCTCTTTGCACTAACCTTGGAAAGTCACCGCTTTGCGGCTTAAATAGCGGTCAGCGGATAAAAACGGAAAAGCAACTTAGCAACTCGAAATATGGGAAAGATGCCCGAAACAAGGGAAAATAAATTCTGCCGTGCTCCCTTGGATTGTGCAGTGTGTCTTGTCAACACCTAGAACATTTCTGGAAAGTAATTTATCTGTTAGATAGCATTACCTCCCCTTTGAATAACTGGGCCAGAAATGCAGGAAAACTTAGGCAACCAAGAAGCAATTGTGTTAAGTTTTAAATTGCTTTGATTGAAAGAGTAGCAAGAGTTTTCTGGGCCAATCACTGAGCAAAGTAAAGCTGACCCAACACAATCCAGGATTACTTTTGACACTACATTGAAAACTGCTCATAAAAGTGTTTTGAGTTTATCTTAAATCACAAGTATAATTACATGCATGTACACACTGATTATCTAAATTATGGTTGAGTTACACTCTGAACATTTTTAATTGCAAGTCTATTGAAGTGAACACAGAGTGGATCACTTCTTCAGCATCTAAAAAGTTAAACTAAGAGTCAAACAATTGTACAACAACAGCTTTGTTCACTTGTTTTCTCACGATTTCTTTGACCTGTTTAAGAGAGAAAAGTTGAATAAAAACAATAAATGTATTGGCTTATAAATTATTCCCTCAATGGCCAATGAAAGAAAAATCGCCCAAAGTAAACCCATGTATATAGCAAACAGTGGGATAATCGATAATTGGATCTTAGGAGTGAAATTGTGCAGGAAAGTTCAATGTTTATTCAGTCTCATTTTTTTCAGTTCATCATTTAAAAGTAGCTTTCTCTTCTCCTACCTTAACACTCTTTTTTGTGACCAACTGTTACTTCTGCTTTTATTTTAAAACTAACTAACTGCCATTTGAATATTTCCTGTTAAAAGAAATTTCCCTCTTTGATAAACAATTCTACTCTTCATATCTTTGACTATGGGATATCATTAAGAAATAAATGTAAAAGACATATTTGATCTGAACTGAGTGGGTGGCTAAAATAAATCAAGCTTGTTTAGCAAGCATGGCGTGCTGCAAAGCAATGAGCATGCATGTCAAGGAGAGACCGAGGGCATGCTCACCCACAAAAATTTGAAAATGAAACCCTCTGAAATACGATTTTGAGCATACCGAGACACAAAAGTATTTTTTAGCCAGAGATTGATGTAAGAGTCAGTTCAAAAATCCTTAGTTTCTGTCTTTGATCACAATTCACAAAGTAGACAACACAAAATAGCCTGACAGCCAACTGGTTTCCGCCGCCTACCGTCTTGTAATGATAACGCTGTTTGACTTAAATTCATATTTGTTCTTCAGCCTGCATGTTGTACCATTGCCTCCACATATCCTTTTGGCACAAAGGCTGCATGTCATTAACAAACCCAGTAGAATGGTATCTGATCTTTGTTAAAAAAATTCTGTCTTCAAAGCCAAGGACTCTGAAAACCTTTTCTTGACCCCAAACTTCTCAAAACTGAACTTTCATTAATTATCACTTCACTGAGGACAGAGTTACCTTGTGTGGCTGGTTCAGGTAAGTTTTCTCTTGCTACGAGGTGCATCACACTGCGTTTACCAGGCTCAAGACTAAGTGCTGTTAAGAAATAAAAGCACTGAGAAAAATATGTGTTGCTTAAAATGATTTTGAATGCCTTTTTATGTGAAATTCATCTACTGGCATTTTCAATCCACTTAACAAATCTCAAACCATAACATAAACACACTTGTGTAGAGAATGTTAAATAACTTTACAATTTTTTTTTTTACATGGAAGAGTACCGGTAAATCTCTACAAGTGGCCATCAACTTAAAAGAGAAGCATCCTTTGGTTTGTTTTATTGTTTCATGCTTCATTTGGAGAAAAAAAAAACTGTTAAAATAAACAAAAAGGTGGTTGGTACCAACAATGATTCTAAAGCAGTGATGCAAAACAAAGTTTCACTGAATAGAAGGATGTTTTCACGCATATTTTAACTGTCCTTTTGTTTAGTGTAACTCTTGTTCTGCTTTGCTGAATGCATCATTGATAAGAACACTTAAAAATTTATCCAATTTCCTCCCATTAAGATATAAAACAGGAAAGAGAATTTTGAACAGATGGTTTTCAATGGCCCAATGAAACAATCTAACCAAATAGATACTCTCAAAAGGGGAAAGAGTTACCACAAACTTCCTATTTTGCATAGCTATTACGTAATGTTTGTAACAACATCTCTTTTATCCTACTTCTCCACATTATTATTTGCAGTCCTCTAACCATTGAAAGAGTCTGGAAACTTACCTCCTAAAGACACATTTCCGTGTAAAAATCGTCCATGATAAATAAGTTTTAGAATATTGTGGGAACTGACTGCTTCATCCTTCCAACCTTACAAAAGGAAAGGAAGAATGATCACAGATTCATCTCTCTACTTGCAACAGGAACTCTGATCAGTTTACTTCACATTCATGTTGTTCCTTTCTTTCTTCTGGATTTGCAAAATCAGTCATTTACATTACATTTCACCAATATTTTCTTAATGCAAACTTAATTTAAGCTAAAAAAATATACTGGTACAGGAGTGAACTGAAGTTTTAACTGATAGAAAGGCTGAAATCAGCCAAGCATGAGTAAAAGATTAGAATTCTGAGAGCTACGAAGCAGCCAGTAATGTAAATAGTATTTCTTCCAGTTTCTAATTGAATCTAAACTTTTTGCATGACTTGAAAAGTTGGCAGACGTGAATAAATGGTTTGTGCATCAAGATGCCTCCAAACAACCTAGAGGTTCTACATCTTAAAAGAAAAAAGCTTTAAAATGTTAAAACAAAAAAAAAAAAAAATACTGGTAGCAAAATATTAACGATGCTAAGGCTGATTGCTTTTCCCTACTGACAATAGAATGCAAATGAACTAATAGCACCTACAAACAACATCAACAAACCTTCAGGCCAGTTATCATGGACATGCTGTGTTATGTAATATGCTGTGTCACTGGGTGAAAATAAAAATTCATGTGTCTTGCCAGATACCAGGATCAACCGCAAACATATCTGATGGGAAAGTAAACAAAAAAAAACTTGCTTAGAATAAGAGGACTCTTGAATAAGGGGATTTTTGTGTCTCAAATCTAGAAATCTGACCTGGAATCACAAAATCTGCAAGCAGAGTTTGAGGTGTATAGTCGCTCCTTAGGATTCATCAATCCAAGTTGGATTAGTTTAAAATCTATTTGTTCTCTAGCTCATAAAATAATAATACAAATTTGGGTAATCAGTCTCAAGGTAAAGGCTGTTAAGTCTGGTATCAAGCCAACGGGCCCAACTAGTGGAAGCTGATCTTATTTTCTGTGCTATAAAGTGACTACAAGTAATGCTACCCCCCCTCCCCTCCTTGGATAGGATGTCTATCCACCACAGGTTATCTCCCAATATTTCCTTAAGCTTCCCTAAACAGATTTTGCCGGTGTAGATTCAAACTCCTGGGTGGAAAGAGACATACGGAGAATAAAGTGTTTTGCCCAAGGACAAAATGCAATGACTAAGTCAGGTCTCAAACCCATACCTCTTGTCCAGGGTCTAGTGCACTAGTGTTAAGTGCCACTGTGCTATTTTGGCATTATCCTTAAGACAAAATTATAAATTTTCCTGCAAATTTACATCTGTCAGTTCTGACAAAGTATTTCTCAAATCTTGAAGATATTTTCAAATCTAAAACTTAACTGAATGTACATTATCTGATAAACAACTCTATTCAGAAAGATTCCACCCCATACCATGCAGTGGGCATAATTCAAAACAATTGCATCTCTGCACAGCAATAACACTCGCAACAGCACCTTGTTGTAAGTTTTAGGGTGAAAATCACAAGAGCAGACTCACAAAGTGTTGAGGGATGTTGCAGCATTGTAAGCTTGACAAAATATACCCTGCTTAATTTTAAACACATAATAAAAACATCAATGTTCAACGTCTCTTTTAAGATATCTTTGAGCTGGGAAAAAAATAGTGGTGATCCAGTGGTACAGTTTAGCCTTCAGGAATACAAGTACTTTGGCGTGCAGAATATAGCTCAATTGGTTAGAGTGCCAGATTGTGTTGTGCAGGAGGTCAAGGGTTTGAGCCCCAGCTGGACCAATACTAGAGGAATTTTCTTCCTCTCTATTTCAAGAAATGGATAGATATTCTAGTCTTCTCAGATAGGGACGAATAAACTGAAGGCCCTGTCTCCTGCAGGGTTAGGGGTAGGAGATGTTAATTTCCCATGCATGATATTACTGTGCGGTGGATGTCCTCCCCTGGGGTGGGATGGGTGGGAAAATGGTCCTGAAAAGCACTACGGGGAATGGTCAATTAACCTTTGTTTGTATGTATGTATGTATGTATGTATGTATGTATGTATGTATGTATGAGAGAGTTTCACTACAATCCTAACATATAACAAGCAATGTACTGAGTTAACTTTGTCTCATTTAAAGTGGTTTCACCAAGGATTTGTCATTTCTTATCAATTTATTTGTTTCCAAAGAAGCACCCAAGACTGTACTAGAAGCATAACAGCGATGCCAAGGTCTAGAGCTCCATTCAAGAAAATATTTCCACAAATGTGGCACATCTTGGATAGCAAAAGGTAAATCTCAATAATTTGTCAAAGCTTTCTTGAGCTTTTAATTTTATTTTAAATTCTGAAAATATAGACCCTATCTAAATCCAAATAAAAGTCACATGTCAGTGTGTAACATAATCACCTGCCCCAGACGTACACCTTCATGAAACCTGATCACAGATCCTATTTTAACACCATCACTCTTTTAAAGTATTGCATCTGACATCTCACCATTACCAAACACACTGAGAGAAACAGCTATCTTAGATCTCATTCTTCATCAGATCTATCTTGCCCAAGGAAATAAACATGACAAAATACCGAAGTGAAGAAGATAATTGGGTGCAAAGGTCACTGAGGGAAAAACAAAAATATTTAAACAAATTTGTCTAAACCATGTAAAGGCATGCATTTCTCGATTACTTGGCAAGTCTAAGCAGGGTCAGAAGAGGATGACCTTATTTTTGAAGAAATCAAAATGTCTTAACATCAAAATAAAAGCTGCTCATGGAAGACAATATTTATTATTGAGAATGGACAAATTTGAAGATCACTTGGTGCTATAATCTGTGATCACGGAATCAATAAAATAGATCTCATTTGCCACCCAACGTATTCAACATTACCAAAACAATACACAAATTTAATGACTAAAAATAATTGCTAAAGGAATCCATTTAAGATTCAGATGATCCTTACCATTAAAAAATCAAACTTGTTACGTGAGTTTGCTTCTGAATTTGTAATAAATTTGTGACATGGAAATATAAAAAACTTGCTGAGAAATAAAAGGAAGAAAATTCGAGAAGATATACTCAATGATTCTGAAAAACATCAGAAACTACCACAAACAGCGAGCATAAGTGAGGTCTATCTAACCTACTTTAGTGTTTATGATTCCGTTTGTCAACAATATTTAAGATCTAGAATTTATCTCTTTAGCATGAAAAACTTCCTTTTTAAGATTTCAACACGAACATAACAGGGATAAATCGATAGTATACTCGTGGCACACATTACATAAGTCGCCAATAAAATTGAAGGCTTCTCGACCTTCGTGCCTAAAATCAGGCGGTCGTTGATGCCATATTTTTCATGGTCATTAGAAAGAAACAGTATGTATTCGAATTTAATAGCAGGGGCGACATCTATATACCACGCGTCGTGTAATTTTGATTCGAGAGCTGTCAGAAACACAAAAACACGCACCACAAAATACGCATTAGTCTGTTTTGACATTTGTCCTTATCTTTCACTTCGACGGAAGAATTGCGCGCACTTAACAAAGTCGCCGGGATTTTCCTGTTTGAGACATGATCAGAACACGTACAACACATTCCAGTTTCTTCGGGATTGAGTTCTTGCTTGTTGTTAAGAACGCAGTCGAATAGGTGAAGAAATTTGCCACGGAATCATGAGCCCATCTACATGACTGAACAACCTGACAAACATGAGGGCATTGCGTTTAATAAAACCGCTTCAAAGAACTCCCCTTAACAAATCAAGTATGAAAGTCACCAACTAACCTATTTTTCTTTGTCAATGAATTGTTCTTGAGACAGTCTTCGCGTAGTAACAACTCCTGTGTAATCTTAACATACTTTTGTACCAAAATAACGATTTTAACATACTGGAGTCATCATTTACACGTGTCTGTATGATTTGAGGCAGATGATGAAAACTGCTTCGCTTTGTTTTAGGCAAACTGTTGTAACCAACGATTCATTTTGTGGTCGAAACAGTCTCGATAAAAGTCGTTCCTAACCCAAGATTTCAATAAATAATTCTATTGATCTATCTTCTTGAAGTAAACACTCGGGGTTTATTGTTCTGCGCTTATGATCCTACAGCAAAATTTCAGTGCAGGAAAGTTGCTTGTTCTACCCATGTATGCCAAATACGGTCTCTTCAAACAATGGAAGAGACAAAGAATGGAAGAGAAATTATATCTGAGTAGGTTTAACCACAATTAGGGACGAAAAAAACGAAAAACACTCACTTTATCGTCCGGTATCGCTCTATGTCTTGCAGTAACACTGTCACCCATCCTGGGCAACGAGTAGCGGTATTATTCACCAAAGCTGAACTTGAACTGGGCAAAAATCCCAAGGAATTGATCTCTGTGACTTTCCCACGAAAAGGAAAGCAAAGTAGGGACTTTTGTCGTAATTTACATCGCTTATAAAGTCGGTAAATCTTTATTCTGCTACTGTGGGCACCAGAGCACGAAAAAAAATATTCGTTTCGGGCGGAAAGGGAGTCTGGGAAGTAATATGACGTCAGAAATGTAAAGCGATTCGACGGGGATCAGTTGATCGAGATTATGCTAAGTTTGTTTACATCTATGCACTAAGACATTACCAGTGTTTAGAGATTTTCAAGTATAGACTGCTCCTTAGAGACCATATTTCCATAAGAAAAAGGCTTATTTTAATTAGCTGAGGCCCTAACTCTCTCACGACAAGAACTACTCAGCGCCAGTCAACGAGCAGGTTTCAGCGTGTCATATGATGCATAACGTCGGCTACCAAATATTGCGTTGTCATCTTTGCCTCAGAGCAGCGCATGTGTAAGAAGAAAAAGACGAATGAACGGAACAGCTGAAAAAGGTTTTCGCTTCAGCTTGACAAATTGTCCACGAAGTTTCAGAAATGTTGTCTTTTTTTTTGTCTAAGATTACGCAGCGGCTCCGAAAAGTCTGATGAACGGGCAAACGTTTCAGTAAGGTTTTTTCTTTTTTTTTTTTTTTCTTATTGAATTTTGAGCCATAGTGGCCATGTCTTAAGCAAAATCTGAAACTCTTAGAAAAATTGCGTCTTCTTAAGAGAAATAAAAGAGAAAATAAATGTTTAAGGAAACCTGGCCTATCTTTTAACTGAAACTCTACGTGATACCGAAATGAAACTGGCTCATTGTTAGCGGATGATTGTTGTACCTGGGTTTGAATTAAGGTGGCAAGTTTCTAAAGCCGCTGTGGTGCTGCGTCGGTGGGAGCGACAAGGTAATTTGGGTCTCATCTACTGAGTTGATAATGTAATTTGGCCACCGTATAGAGTTTCAAAGCTGACGTTTCGAGCGTTAGCCCTTCGTCAGAGCGAATCACGGTACTTAGCTTGAACAACTAAAAGTTCAAAACTTTTGCTATTATTTATAAAACGGTTTCGAAACTGAAGAAAAAAAGCCTCTAAATAAATCAGAAGTTCTTATACTTTTCTGCCGGCATGGTAGTAAGCAAAAAGGAAACAAACATCATAATAAAAGCAATGAAGGTGACGGTTTTCACTGACGTGGCCGCTAATTAGGACTTCCTGTTGTTGAAGCAAGACTCGATATCTCTTTTGAACACGAATCGTAACTGAAACTGTAATCAAACTTCAGATTCCTTAAAAACCATAGACGGCTCAAAACAATTTTCTTTCCATAGTCAGTTATAGATTTATTACTTTTTAGATGGGCAAACAATTCATTCTTAGCACTGTCCATCAAAAATAGCACAGTATTGTTCTTGCTCTTTCTGTTCGCGTGGAACTTTTTCTCTGTGAATTCGGGTTCGGTGACGTTCTTGAAATAGTCTTGTGATAAGGTTTCATATCAAAGGAATAGCCCAGCTGGCTGAGAATTGAGAGAGATGGGAATTGAATCAAACCCTTATAAGGGCGTAACCAATGGGAGGGGGGGGGAGGCTTGATGGTACATATACGACCCCACTACAAAAAAAAACACTGTCGATAATACTGCTAACGATACTACAATCTAACATGGCCATGATCAATCTATAATAAATGATCTAAAAAGATCCTTTTATCGCCTCGCTGAAAAATTCTGCTTGTTTCCCTTAATTAAGTTGGAACACTCCTCAGGTGAAACAAGGTTACGATTCTAGAAGGTTTCGTAGCTGGTCCCCGGCACCAGTGCCATTATTCCACTGTTTGGGCTTTCGCTAAAGCTAGTATTGTCAACGACAATTCTTCCTCACTCTGGTGGGCTAAAATGTTTGAGAATTAAGAAAAGAGAAGGAAAACTCGAGAGATAGAAGACATTTAAGAGTATTTTAACCTCCGTGGGGTGTTGAGGCTAGGAATCGAAGAAACGCGAAGCTGGCACACAAAGTGCGCTACTGTAACCCAAGCTGCCTCCAGTTCTAGATTTCGCCTCTGTTGGGAGCTTAGCCCCAAAAACTGATAACTTTGGAGTCAAAAAGATAAACTCTTCAAAGGTTGGTACAAGTAATGTAAACGTGCTTTGAATCCCGTCTCTTCGTCCGCGTCCCGCCACAGTAATGACGTCATATGCGACTTCCCGGATTCCTCAGTCTATCAGGTGTCATTATTTTCACTTTGGTTTTTTTACTCTCGCACGTTTTGGCCTTTTGTTTAACTTTGGGGTGTGCAATTCGAAATCTTCGCGCAATGAGACGCATTCTGAGATGCCAGATGACCCCGTGAAAAGAGTGGCTAAAGAAAGCTGCTTCAGTTTGGAATTTGTTTGGTTTATGGCTGTTGCACTCACTTTAGCGTCCAGTGTTTTATTTTCAGCCATGCTGTTGTCTTCTTACATTTTCAAGATCAATTAACAGTGAAACATTTCCTTAAATACACTTAAGGATTGTGAGAAAAATTGCAAAAATTTCGGATATAACCCCAATTTTTTCTCAAAACCAGCCCACTCTCTCGTGGTACATTCGCAGCCTAATTTCCACCTGCGACAGTTAGCGGAATTTGTAAATTTCCTTGTTAAAATATTTAACTTTACCTCTCGAAGCAACCAAAGTGATAGTCCTTTGACTTTTGGGTCGAACCGGATCGACAGTGCGTTATATTTAGCACTTTACTTAGGTAGGGTGGGGTGGTGGGGAAAACACGTGGGGGTACCTAAAATGTTTTCATTCTGATATGCTCCGTCCTGTCTGGTTACATTCACTTTGATGTCCCCTCAGTTACCCAAATTTATGTTTTCGCCACTGTTTCTTAAAATCAATTCGAAAAAAATCTGTAAAAAGGAGTTCTCTTCCGGGATAACTATTCCCTAAATTCCCTCGAGCTATGCCCTCCATATCCCGTGACTACTGAAGGGTGGTCAGCAAAACACCTCATCTCGATTGTGCGCATTCCACAGGTCCCGGAAGCTGAAGTCTTATATCAAAAACATAGTCTAATTTGTAAATGTGGCTAGGGCTTTGAACAATGTTAAGGTGGTAATGTGTATACTTAAAGTCCGACTGAGGAACCCTCTATTTGTCTTTGATCTATAGCAACATGGATCCGGGCAAGAGTGCGAGAGTTTGAATTGTTATGGCTACCGCAAAGGGAGACTTTGATGCGGTGAGAGACTGGCTTTCTGCCGAAGTCAAACTCGAACGGTATGCCGAGAAACTTGAGTCAAACGGCTTTACATCACTGGAGACCTGTTGCTCAATAAATGAAGATGCCCTCGATAAAATGGGAATCGTTATGCCGTATCACCGGAAACGATTTCTCATGTTTACGGAGAAACTTAGGGAAAAACTTGGTATAGATTTCCAGAACGAGGAAGATCGCAGTGTCAGCCCGAACATGGAAGTAACAACTGACAGTTCTGAAACGGGAACTGAGCCGCAGAGCTCGCTCATAAATTTTATTAGCGGAGACGAAAGTGTCAGTGCTTGTAATAATCAGCTTCCGAAGGAAGACAGTTGCGTAGTGACCGCAGGTGAAAGCTGTGATACTGAAGTTCCTGACGTTCCTTTACTTCCACCGAAGAAAAAATCCAGCTCTTTGAAAGCGCCACCACCTATACCACCGAGGGCAGATTTAGACGAAAAAGAGACACCCTCTGAGGAGGCTTCAAAAGCTTCAGATACTCTTCCACAAGATGCTAGGCATGTAAACATGGATCAACACCAGGAGCAGTCAAAACAGCCTGAGGTTCCTTCAAGGAAGGCCCCTTCAAAGCCTCCCAGAAAAACGATTAAGACCCCACAGGGTAGTGTACAAAATGGTTTACAAGAACAAGATATGGTCCCTTGTAATTCTAATGCTGATAGTGTTACAAACAGTAGTCCCTCTGGTGAGGAAGAACCTCAGGTGCTAATTAATTCAACATCAAGTTGTCCTGCATTGCCTAATGCAGAAAATGGAAGCAATGAAGCAAGCTCCATTCAGCAGAAAAGTGAAGAAACAGCTACAGCAGCAAATGAACCAAGAGCAGTGCCAAAAGCGGCCGAGAGGACGTCAGCCAAAAGACCAACACCAGTACCGCGACCACGAACAAGAGTGAAATCAGAAGACAATTTATTAGTGTCAGATCTACCAGTTGTTACAAAGGGTGAATCAGAGGGAGATAGCAAGAATGTGTGTTCTGCCTTGTTAAACAATACTTTAGAAAAGAGAACACAATCATTTTCTGTATCTGGGAGAGGAAGGGATCCTGTAAATTCCTCTGTGGGGGTACCGTCAACTTTACCAAGATCTGTATCTGCTAAACAACGGCCTGCACCTCCAATCCCTCCCATACGACAAACAGGTTCGCTGAAAGAGCCTCCTAAAAGGCCGATGTTTGATCTTCCACTACCACCTGTTCCTGCCACAGGAAGCACGGACCATCAGAAAAGTAACTTGATCAGTGCTCCTCACCAAGGTTAGCTTGCTTCCTCTATGATATTTTGGTGTTTTGGCAAGAGAGCTCTCCTTAGTTGAAATGTTTCTCTATTGTCATTACCTATTTTGTAGGATCGTAACAACAACATAATTTATTTTCTATTTGGTCTACATTCAAACATCAGCCACAGACAAGTTAAGTTTGTTGACACGATTAAGAGGGAAAATAAGAGGAAGAGAAATTGTTCTTTTAAGAGACTGGTGTCTACCTGACTTGGCGTCTACATATAGCAGGTTTTACAGAATACTGCATATATTTTATTTATACTCTAAATTCTTTAGGAAGTATATTAAGTTTTCAGTATGACCAATTTAGTCCCAGAGGTATCTGAGATAAAATTATTATCCATGAATCTTTGAAATTATTGGTTTGATACATTTCACAGCAGTACCAGAGCCGGTGGAATCTCAACCAGAGTCAACAGATGAATATTGCCTGGTCCAACCATTACCACAGATGACATCACAAGTGGAGTCTGCTGTATATGAAGAAGTTTGGAAAGGAGAACCAAAAGAGTATCAGAAAAATATTCATGATACAGTGGAAATTGATTATGAAAGTGATGATTCTTTGGATCCATTTTGTGCAGATTTGC